TTAAGTCATGGTAGTTGCCATGATCACATGCACATGCCACGATCAAATTTGCAGTTCTTGTATCTTACCTTCGCAATTAAGAGACGATTCTCGCCAAATTTCTTGCTTAAAATTTCCCGCACCCATCCGTTCGCAAAATTTTGATAGCAATCCAAGCTCTTGTAGTTCATTAGTTGATCTTCAGTGTAAGGACTTTTCTTAAACAGGAGATACATTCCAACGTGTATGCATGTTACGTTCGGCCAAGAATCTACATCATATATCCACTCGTTTCGCGGAATTTTGTAAGGATCTTCTCCGTCAATATCTTTCAACTTCTCTAAATACATTTCCTTAGCGTCTTTCAACTGCAAGCCCTCGAAATACCCGGGTAAAAACCCTCGCTTTGTAGTGCCTCGTGCCGCCATTTGTAAGCAAACTTGAAGTGGTCCTCCAGTTCGCGAGATCACGTGTCGTGACGTCACATCTGAAATGGGTCTATTTCATTAAAGTGGTCACCCAGTTAAACTTTCAGAGTAAATTTTTTTACAACTTTTTTATAATTTTTTTTTTTGCACAGATAAATCAATTATTTCTCTGTACACTTTTCAGCAGGCTCGCGTGCGTGTTGTTCTTACGTGCACTTCGGTCACGGTACAAAACTCAAGTCACGTGATCAAATGTTTCTGGCGGCCATGTTTGCTGTAAAGGGCTTTTCTTGGCTTAGAAGTGGTTCATATACGTTGATCATCAAACTGACGAAGATGAAATGTAAAAAAAGACTATCAAAGTCTCACGGTAAATAATTATCTACGTCTTTAGTAGGTTCGTCGAGCTACAAAGTTCAAATGTTTTCAGTTGGTCGAATAGCATGGTGGAAGTAGCTAGTACAGATTAATGGGTTTATGCTGGAGAAGTGGCCCACTTTTGTCATTCTTTTACTCTGGGTAAGTTAAGTGAATAAAATTTAGCTTTAGTTAAGTTTAGTTGACTTTTGATAATGTTTTTTATGCTGCTCAAAGTATAAGTGAGTGGCAAGAATTGAGCCTTTCTCCAGAATACCTTTCTATCGCTTTATCTTGATGATCTGGTGCTGTAGGTTTTATGCGATTCAACCTTTGTTATATCCTGATGATAATACACAATGTCAACCCTTTCGTTGTAGACTAAAGAAGACGTTTGCCAGAAGAATTAGGCTTTAATTACCAAATCCCATACTATAATACGTGGCGGCAAAAACTACAACCACGAGGATTTCAGGCTCTTATATTAGGACAAATCTCACTACAAATACACTACACGAATTATCACAAACGCCACATCACACAACTTGCAGTGTTCGAATGTTCCTGGTTACTAGCTTAGTTTACAACGTCAGTTACCACATCTTTTAACAGCTTTTTAACCAAGAAATACAAGACAGAAATTTTGTTGAAACAGATAGCTGTTTTAGAAAGAAAATGGAAGAGTATACATTGTCATATTTCCATAATAATAATAATAATAGTTTTTTTTCTGTTCTCTAGGATCCGACTCTTATCAGACCCAAACTAACTTTGATAACAAAAACGACCTACATATAAAAATTGTGAAGGCAACTACTACCTCGTATTAAAAGAATTTCAAAACACATGCATGGAAATTACCCTTAAAAGAGTAAATTACATTAAAAAAATATGTGAGAAGGGAAATGATAATCTTACTCTATGAAACTGTAAAAACAAATTTTAAGAATGTCTAGCCTATATTTGCCATAGCATTGTCAATTAAAAAAAATCTGTACCGAATGTCTCAACTGTTGTTCTCTTCTTTCTTGTACCTCTTAAGCATAAGAGGGCGCATCGTAAGAGCGCAAAAGAGATTTTTGCTCTAATCCAGGACATAGTGGAAGAGTATGTCTCACATTTCTTAATGGATATGAGTTCAGCTAAGCGTTTATGGTAAATTTTGCATTCAGTGCCCATCCTTCCGGCGGTACTAAAGATCAGGGGCGTAAAGGATCCTTACTCTATTTCCAATACTCTACTGGCATACTTTCATCTCTTCTCGTTTTCGTGCTGTTTAAAGACTTGCTCAGATGTCTTCTCACAAAAAGAGTCAGCATAAGGGTGGATTACCAAAGTAAAAGTATCAAAGCATCAAAGCAAAGCATCAAAGCATCAAAGCAAAGCAAAGCATCAAAGCATCAAAGTATGCAGACTTCTGTCGCTCCCAAAAACCTCTGGCTAGAATATCAAGACGAGCATCTTGGGAAGTATCGGCCCCATTATTCAAAAATTCTCCCGTAATCTGCTGCAGGGGAGGCTCGATTTCCATATCTTTACATATGATGCTAAGAAGTGCCGCCTCCAGGTCTCTGATCTCATTGTGACGTTATTTCACAAATCCGCCATTTCTGCAGGTCATCGCATGGTCCACGTCAAAGACGTCACCACTGACGCACCGCTTTGGGATGTCAGAGAATTCCCAACTATATCTCAGCTTAAGGGCATCTCTAAATTCTTCTTTATTGAGATCGTACCCTAGGTCTTTTAACGGGATGACAGTGAGCCAACTGGAAGCATCTCTTTCTGATGCTTATTCTTTCACTTTAAGCAAGTTCGGTGTAAACATGTTCTTTACCCTCACTTCAGATTCTTTCAGGGCCTCACGTTTCTTAGCCATTGCCTGGGACTTTGCAGCATTGTTATCTGCTTCATCTGGAGTATGGATAATAATAATACATACATACATACATACATACATAAATACATACTTTATTGACTTTCCCCAAGGGGGCTTTTCAAAGACAATGTTAT